CTCGAGTATAGCTGCTAACAGAAGTCTTTGTAAGCATAAATTACAGTTTGCTTTTGGTACTGAAAATTTTGTGTCAAAGTAGTGTTAAAATGTTTTGCTACCAGAGGTAGGGATGCTTGTGTGGGGTTTTTTAAAAGGCAGACAAAAGAAGAAAGTAAAATTAATCAATGGAGAAATCTGCTGAATGAGATGTATAGTAGTACAGTATGTCAATACTTTTGGTACTTAGAAGAGTGTTGGTCTTTAAATCAACTCAGTTGAGTTCTGCCTTTTATGAGTTGTTCTGCTTAGGGCCTTTATTAGATTCCTATATTTTATTTTAAATGAGGTAGAAATTTTTCTTAGAAAAACTAGAAGAATATGGTCTGTAAGTAATAATTAATGATCCAGTGTATTTTATAGAAACAATGTTTACTAGCTGTGCAATGATAATCAAAAACAGCTATGGAAGACAAGCACATTTTTCGTCATAATTGTTACCAGTTTTTCTACTTCTAGCAAACAGTAACAACCTAAAAATGGTGACTGTCTAGACCTGCGTAAGAGTTAGACGTTCCCCTTCAACAGAGTTGAGAGCGATGACAATGGATTGTAGCTTTCTCCTCCAGGTTGATAGTTTCAAAGCAATTCAGTTTGTCTGTGACTAGAGATCTTTGTTATATGTCTGGAGATGAGTTAATTCCTTGTGATACCCACTACTGTAGGAGTAGCTTTAAAGTAACTATACCACCCAATAAAAATGGTTTCCTGCTAGATCAAAGACTGGAATCCAGGAAGATGCTGCTATTCCTTGGCCATTACTAAATTTAGAATAGGCTGTTACCAAGTAATCAACACAATGAGTTGAAGTACTTAGTTTTTTATTTCTAGTCAGCAGAGTAGGGTGCTGGGCACGTAATACCAACCAGCACACCTTTTAAGAAACATGTAGATTCTTTTATACAAAAAGGGAACAAAGAAGGAATCACATTAATGTAGCTAATTGGTCACTTGTATGAAAGTTCATTTGCGCATGTCCTAACTTCTTTCTGGTTCATCATACTAAGGTGGCCCCACATTTACATGTAGTGTCTCCTCCTAGGTGTGTGATTTTTAATATTAAAATTACCTAAATAGAGGTTATACCTCTGTCCTATCAGCTACCACTAAGATACTATTTAACTTTATATCCTGTTGCGCTTCCTGCTTAAACAATGGCTATTTTTGGGGTAGGTACTTAGAGCACTGTGTCTCTAAGGACTTTCCACTCCTACATTCTGTTTCTATGGTTTCAGGACAGACCATCATGATTGATCAATTTGTAAAATTTTAGCCCCTTTTGACATCAACCTGAGACATATATGAAAATGTGGGAGGCTGAAGTATGTCTTATGAAGTGTAGACAATAGTAATTTTGGTTGAGGCAGACATGACTTTGTATCCAGACATGTAGAAGTCTGTTTTCATCATCCCATCTTCAGTCCTATTCCATAGGTGACTGTGTTCCTGGATGTATGTCTCTTCACATCAGTGGGATAGACTTTGCTGTCTCTGTTCAAGTTGCAAAGCAAGCTTGAAATATTTTGTAGGTTTAGTGAGTGAGTTTCTCCATTCCAGATATGTATAAAAGCAGTGACGTGGATGTGATTTACATTTTTACCAGTCTCAGGGCTGTTGCAGAATGATATAGTAGGGTTTTTTCAGGTAGCTGCTTATACAAAGACAGAACCTGAAGAATGTGAGAGGAGCAGTGGATAATCTGGTATTCCTTGCAGTGTGGGTGTGAGAGGTTATTTACTGGTAACTGGAACACAAACACTATAATTTATGAACAACCATGTCCCACCTTCCATCCCGTTTTCCAATAGAATGCCTAGACATTGAGGGAGAAATTGTTTGTCTGTATATGCTGTGTGTTGAAGGGCCTTCTATGTGGGTTAGAAGTATTACACTAAAATATCTCTGAATCCAGGTGTCTGCGACCTGTGCATCTCCACAGTGTGAATCTGCTTGTGGGCTCTGCTTCTGAAAGAGATCTGAAGCCCTGCTCTTCTGATGGCAGGAGTAGCATCCTGAATCAGGGTCTTGCCAGTTAAAAAAACTAAAAGCCTTTTCTAAGCTCATGCTAGACAATAAAATGTAGGTATTTTAAAAGTAATTAAGATAAGCTCTCCTGCTGATGGCTTCAGAGCTTCTTTTTCTTCAAATTGTTTCTGTTCACACCTAAAGATTTCTCTGAAGTGCTTCTCATTTGTAATCCTTTTTTTTTTCCTCACTGTGGCTGAATATAGAAACTGCTTACCAAGTTCATGAATTTTTTGAAGACCAGTGCAGGCAGCGTTAGCATCTGCTTCCTGACTGTTATTTATAGGTTCTGATCACTATGTTTCAAGCAGTGCCAGTCCCTTCTTTTAATGACACTTTAGGCTTTAAATAGTTCTGCAGCCCTTTATGAATTCCAGAAAATTGTAAAAAAATGTTAGCTTCTTGTTCACAGCTTCACTCTAATTGCTTGGTATTTAAGTATGGTATTTACTACTAGTAGTTGTATTTTTTCCTATGTCTGATAGAATCAAAACCAATCTTGTTTTGAAAATAGAGCACAAAAGTTAAAGCCTGTCAAATACAGCTTTAGAGAATTTTCTTGTGCAGAATGATAGTGTTTTTTTAATTATGCAAACAAAATGTCTGTCTTTCTGTTTATTTTAAAGTACCCTGATAATTTTTTACTCCTCTGTGTGATATTCTTTAGTGAACTGAATGATAAAACATTTTTATGCAATTGTCCCTAAAAATTTTTTTTTCATTTTTTGACTTGGGGAAAAAAAAGGTGATTGGATAGCGCCTTTACTGAATAGCTTTCAAAAATTATCCCAGACTGCTCTGAAAACGTAGGAAAAGTGTGGTCTATAGTGTTCTGTCATAGTCATCATTGGGAACAAAGATGGGATGCAGGGAGCTCAAATATCAGAAGGGAACAGGATGAGACGTATTTAAATTTTAGGTGATGATGAGCATGACAAATAAAATGTTTCTCATCAGAAAAGTGATTGTAAAATTCCTCAGGCATTGACCCTGGATGGTAAATTGTTGTGAAAGAGATTTACTCTCACAGAATCACAGAATGTTAGAGAT